GTAAATTTAATAAGCATATATACCATATTACATCACTCAAATCATTAATGAAAACACTAGCCAGCTGCAGAACACATTTCAACAACACCCCACTCGACATATTGCTGGGCAACGTTGAACAACTGATAAAGACTTTCAGGGTACAGCTTTCTCTAAACTCCTGCATTCACTGCACATTTTCATCAGGATTCTATTGCTGATCCTGCCAGTGTGACATGGTGTCAAGAGCCCTATTTAAATCAATGGTGTCAAGAGCCCTATTTAAATCAAACTACAAGACAGTCATTGATCTCTCTGGTCCCAAGGCCTGTTATGCTGCCAACAAAGAAGATACAGGTGGTTAAATACAATTCATTCTTGATAAATCTATGTAGCCTACTATTTAATAACACTTTTATATTACAGACTTAGACAAATAGTTTATTTGTTCTAGAGTTTCTTTGCTTATGGAAGTCAAGTTAGTTTGAATTGACTGAAGAAAATTGGTGGCACTAAGTTCTATTTTCAATAAAGCAAGCTCTCCATTAGATTCTGGATTCTAATCTCTCCCCCCAGGAATTCCTAAGAATAACCACTAAGAACAACGAGACGACTCTCAAAAGCAGCTGAGATACATTAGGATGAATACACATATTGTTTATATTTGTGTTTATAAATATTATAAGCCTTTATATACATATATATACAACATGCATGTATAACAAGGAACATGCTCTCCTTTCCTGTGGAATAGGTCCATGTTTTAACAGCAACAGAGAACAAAAAGGGGAAAAAAATAGACTTTTTAGGTTTAAAGTATTTGGAAATATTTTGCTCTAATTAATGTCATTTTCAATGATGGGGAAAACACAGACCATGTTGTCTCCCTCTATTAAGCATTATTTTGTATTACTGTATGACACAAACTGGGTGGTGAGCTGCAGTACTATAGATAACTTTACAGTCTTTACAACAGTGTTCCTTTTCAGTGGAAACTCCGGGGTATTAGATGTAGTAGCAACACCAGAAAAGCCCACTGAAACAGAGAAACCTGAATACTGGACAAGACAAGGTCCCACCAAGGCAAACCACAGGCAGATGAGATTGTTTTCCTCCTTCCATTGTCTCTAATTCCTATTCTAACAGACATACCAGCTATGTTCAGGCTTTTTCTTGTTTAAACCCTGCATGACTCGTATCATTTACCCCAGAAAGGTGCTAAGTCCAATTTATTTCAAGCCTCCACAAGACAATTTTTCAGGCTCAAGATCACTGTCACCTTTGTGCAGATGTCACTAGTTCTGGGGTGCACTTCAGAAGACCAAGCTACCACCACCTACATTATGCATGGTTTTTGCTTTACCCATTAAACTGTCTTTATCTCAACCCACAAGTTTTCTTTCTTTACCCTTCAGATTGTCCCCAACCCACCAGGGGTGAGAGCAAAAGGCTGCATGGGGCTTGTTTGCTGGTTGGTGTTAAACCACAACAGGAATGCAGCACGTAGGCAGGGTTTTCTCCATTTTAGCTAGACTTCAGTAACTGACAATATTTTGCCATTTCTCTACAATTATTTAGTTTTAAAGTAAGGTCACAGTCCTATCTTTGTCCATCCTCTCTTACATTACATGAAATATTGCCCTGGAGCAACTTCTATACAAAGACACCCAAAAGCGTGTTTTAATAGACCCCTTCTCCTTCATTTCATGGCTGCATAGCTTAGTCACAGATCAGGTCTGAGTGTACAAAAGAGTAAAATTATGGCTGGTGCAAGCCCCTGCCTACAAATATATGCTCACAAACAAATAGCTTAACTTGCTGTGACGTAAATTATAATACAACCATATACAGAGATGAAGAGTTTATTATCATGAAAACAAGTCTAAGCATTCATATGAATAATGATGACATCATTTACAGGTATTCAAGGAATTAAAATAGACATCCTTGGTTGTCCAGATGGAATTAACAACCTGCCCATGCTTATGCTGGCCATTTGCTGCACAACTCAGAATTTTTTCAACTTCATCTGATAAGTTACTGGCTGCTGTTAAAGACAGTAATTTCTGCATACCCACATGGAAGAAAGCACATATTTTAATGCCTGCAGAATTTCTTCTGTGAAAGGAACTGTATATAGCATACCATTTTCCTGTCACATTCTATTGTTTAATCTTGCTTAGGAATGTTTCTTTTCCACTTTATGAAATATTTGTATTTAAATATCAGCAAGGAGCGTAGTCAGGGCATATAATTCACTGCATTAGGCACTGTGTGACATCTGAATACGGTTGCTTGTTTTACCTATCCATACACTAAATTGTATTGTATAATATGAAGAATCATCACTAGAGAAGCAGCTAATAGCTGCAATCACAACTCTTTTTCTACTTTGCTAGAGGACCCAAGTATGCTGGGAGGTAGAAGAGTTGCAGAAGTCCAGATTTTAATTTTATATATATATACATACACACAAATTAATCTCTAAAATTACATAGGAAATTAAATTTTCCTTCTTACTGTGACAAAGTGGGAAGTTGATTTCGAAGAATGTGAAACTCCAACACAGAGGAATTTTAGATCTACTTTAGCTTTAAGTAGAGATCTCAGTCAAAATATTATCAAATGCTTTCAGAGAAACTTCCTAACATCCTCCACTGAAGCGAAGATCTGCAGACTACTAGCAACTTAGAGGGTCCAATTAAAAAACCTTCTCAGTAAGAGCGAATTGTTATAGTTTCTCTGACTGATCCATATTTCTATCTAATTCAAAGACTTTATATTTTTACCACAGCTTTTTCCTATCACTGCAAAATAAACTTCAAGAAACAACTAACTAAAAGCTGTAAGCGAACTAACACAGATTTGCTGTAGAAATAAATGTTGAATACATATACCTAAACAGGCACGTGTACATTTGTGGCCCCCAAAGACACACTCAGAGTACAACTGTACAAAGAAATAAATTCCCAGTTATCCCAAGATTCTACCCAGAATAACTTATAAGCAATGGAAGGTATATTATAGCACAGAAAGTGCAAACCTTTCACAATGGTATCACATTGCGCTGGCTTTGATGAAGTGGAAATTATACTGCACCACACATACAACAGAAAGGTCATAAACAACAGGAAGATTTTTTGTTTGAATGAGACAAAAGAGATATTCTGAAATATCTGGCTAAAAACACAAGTTAATACTCATCTTGGTCACAAACCCCAACTCAAAAGCAAGCCTCCATGACACAGAGGTTGCTACCCAATACCAGGCTCTCACACCACCTATTTACTACCACCAGACGTTGTAGCACTTCCAAAGCCCTCCCAAAGTTTTCGTATCTCACCACCGAATTACCAGTGCCCATTGTCTGTTTCTCACGCTTCCCACCCTCCTGACACCACTGAGCACTGCATCACATTTCCCATCTTTCGACAGCACAGCATTTCCACAACCTCACCCGAAGCCACCACAGCCTCACTGCTCTCCTGCCCCACAGCTTTACCAGCCCCCAATACAGATCTCCCACATGTCCCAGTGCCTTCCAAGCCCATAAGCACAGCCCAGCACTTCCCCACGTTCCCACTAACAAAAGACTTTACCTGGTCGTAAACCATGCAGAATTAAGGATTAAATTAAGGACCACAAGCATTGGCTACCCCATGGACCAGAGGATGAAACTCAAAAGGCCTCCCTTAAAGACACACATTCCCCTTCATCTTTAACAAAAATTACTCAGACTTTGCTGAGCTACAGGAAAAGACCAAGTATTTGAAAACAAGAGATTCAAAAGACTGTGGCACTTCAACAAAAGAAAGTGCAAGTGGTTTTTTTTTTGAAAGAGTGAAATTAAAAAAAAAAAAGGAAGGACAGTAGTAAAATGCATATTCTTTCAAAGAAAGAAATCCTAAAAGCTACACAAGATACACATCTCAGATTTTACCATTAAATTATACTAATTTTTTAATAGGATCTAGCACTCAAATTAATCCCAGAAGACTTGTAATTCAGCTAGTTAAAAGACATAATTACTTTATATATCCTGAATAAGTAATGGGATACCAAATGGAAAGAAACATTTTTTTAAAAATCAGAAAAAATATTTTATCTTAGAATTGATGCTTACGTGCTTCATTCAAACTGATATACTAAATAAATATATAGACTTTCTGTTTGCAACACAGCATCTGCCAATTATAAGACTAAGTCATTGTCTAATAATTTTTTCATTATACAGTATAAAAAGAGCAGTACTGACAAATATGCACAATAAACCTCAGGATGATCTGAACATTTGATAATTCAACCCTCCCACAACCTATTTTTGGAAGCTGAAATTTGAATACCATTAAATCAAAGGAGAAACAATTGGTAAGATACCATATACACCACCAACAACTGATATCCAAGACTAATGGGATGCTCCTCAATGCATCCTGCAGCACAGTGTGGAACTTCCCAAACTAGCTCAAGTACGGAAAACAATAAAGTAATGTAACATGATTCATGAGAACTATCTCATCATTCTTCCTAGAAGTCACTAAAATACAGGGTAAATTAGTCACTACTGCAGCAGGATGCTCCCAGTATCTGACTTAGTTTAGGTACCTGTGTATCATAGGGCTTTCATAAAGGTCACAAGGACAGTAACTTTCTTCAGGATGTGAACTGTAATTTAAACTATGCCTTATCATAGTGCAATGTCTTCCACAATCCAAATACATACCTGCTGCCTCTAAAGGCATTTTATATAAACATAAACCAAAAAGAACCTGCTTCACAAAGAAATTGTTGCCTGAAAGAACACAAGTTATTATCACAGAATTTTCATGTATCTAGAGAAGCAATACGAAAAAACGGAAAGTATCAGTAAGTTCTGTCCGTACCATTTCTCACTTTAAATCAGGAAGCAGACAGCAAGAACCACAGTAACAAGTTTTGAGTATTTCTTTAAGTCGAACACTGGTGCGAGTCATGTGAGTGCAAGCTAAAAATGCCTCTAAAAGTAACCAAGAAGGACTCACCAAGTTCATTGAGACTCTGGGCAGCTTTTGTTATCTCTCTGCTTCCTCCTTGCAGTTGTCCTTGAAGTCTCTTACTGAGATACAAGATGCGTATTATCCTGCGCAGCAAGTCGCAGGCAGCCTGCAGGGAAACCATAGCGTTAGGGGCTATTACCAGTATATTAGAATCACATAATGCTGGGCCACAAACGTGGAAACAGGAAATATGTATGTGAATAAAACCAAGGAACTTTAGAACACTGAAATCCCTTTTTTCAGAATTTCTGAACACCGTTCTGTGTTATGAAGACCAATACGTTCTAACGCTGGTAATTACATTTATGGGGCTACTGAGATTACACTGTCATTAGCTGTGCAAAAAGCACAGGCAACTCAGAACCCCACGACAGAGGCATGTTCTATTTCTAACTAGAAGTGAGCTTTATTTTATATTGTACATCTGTCCTCAATATTCCTCCCCTCTTTAAGATCTAGTAAAATTAGGAAATTGGCCTTGCCAATCAAATATTGATCCGAAATAAGCAAACTGGCAGCGCGTACTTCAAAGGACAATAAAACTTAATGGCTAAATTGTTATTACAGATATTGACTCTTATGGTAGGAATTTACATAAAAGCTAACTCTCAGCAAAACTTCCATAAAGCCAGTGACCTTCATTCAGCCAGCTGTTAGTTCACATTCTTTCATATTCTCATTAAATACATGGCATTCTTGATTGAAAATGCAGGATGGATGTAAGATGTAAATTTTTAGGAAACATATTTGTGTATGTTTTCATTAGCACCGAATCAGAAAAAAGGCAAATCTGAATCAAACGTAATAGTTTCACAATTGTTCACTCAACGAAGATCTTGAAACAGGTTTTGTCCTACACATTAAATAATAGAGAAACTCTAAGAGTTACATGAAGCGTGGAATTCCTCCAGGGCTGGACTGGGTCAGTGGGGTTAGGAGGTACATGCTATGGGAACAGCAACATTCTGGAGTGTGTAATATCTAAACTAGAATTCAGAAATGTCATTCAGATTTACAGTCATAGGTTCAGTCCAATATCTGCAATCATATTAACAAGAATGGTGAGAAATTTGGAACAAGTAAGACACAGTTGTTCTAGAGTTACTTTCTCTGGTACTGAAGGCAAAGTTCCTGAAGTTTTAAACTTATGGATATCAAAAATTGATTTAAAATTACTTTAAAAAATATTTAGTATCTGAAAGACTTTGAACCTCTTTTTCATACTCAAGTTAATTTCTTGAAAACTAATACTGAAAACCTATGTAAGGGGAAAACATACACAAGTGAATAATTTCAACCAATATTCATTACAGCTTAATAGTCTCTTCCCTATGCCGGCACAAAACAATGAAACCACAAGTATTTATAGTTTAATTTTATTAAACACCTAGACAGACCAAAAAGGAAAAATCAGAAAAAGCCCCCCTGAGGCAAATCAGTGAAAAGCCCAATCACTCTTGCTGCTTTGGGCTCTCTACCACGGTCTGAAGTGCAAGTTTCCTAAGCATTCTAAGACAACTTAACCACATGATTTCTATTACCATTAGTGAGAACTAAGTGGGGCTTATCCTGCTTTGAGAGATTAATGTATTAATTTTTATTAATTCATTTCTTTAATTGGAAAAATCTGAATCCACATATCACTTTCCTATCTGTGAACTAAATTTCTGCAAGATGAATCAGAAATAGCTTTTTATATAGGGCACTGTGCTTTGCCAAATAAGAGGCCACAGTATTACTACTTTGCTTTCAAATTTAATTACTTTCTAATCCAATTGTGTACCTCTCACTAATGTTTTTCCCTAGGAATTTAAGTTCAGTTATTTTCTGACCATCTTTTACTTTACATGCCAAAAGTTTGTATCTTTTTCATTGAATTGTTGCTCATTATCTCCTGTCCCTAGAAACAATCTTTTAAGAGGACTATCAAACTGAGTATGGGATGGGAAAAGTTACATTTAGACACAGGAGAAAAAAAAAAATTCTGACCCTATGAATTAGAAGGAGGAGAAAAATCCAAAACCACTGAAGATGCACTCAACTTCACAATAATTGCTACTGCAATGTTCCCCTGACAAAGAACCTGTTTCACCCAAGTATTTTCATTTATGTGAGCTGTTCAACTTAATAAAACTCCCAGTCACTGTAAAAGAATGCAATATATAAGGACAGTGTAACAGAAATAAAATATTTTATCTAATAGTGGAGTTGTTCACAGATGCCAGATCCTCTAACCTGACCACCTCCATAACAGAAGTCTGAATTAATTCAGGAAACATTCCCTTCCTGAGGTGATGCAGTATGCTTTTCTAAAGGAGATGCTTTCAACCAAGAAGAAATGAATTCCACTGTTCAAGCAAGAATTAATTTGGAAAAGGCCAGTGGCCCCGGTTACACTGGTTTAAGTAAAATTAAAAATAAAAACCCAGGTTTTTTTAGGTTACATGTTAGCTATCTCCTGAAGTTTAAAACAACACATCAACAATAACTGACATTATTGCTACAGTTCAAGACATTGAAAAGCCTCTTACTTTTAAGCTCAAGTTCATTTAAAGAAATGATTCAAAGAAGATTTAATTATAAAGAGAGGGACACTTGAAAATGTGCCAATGTATAACTCATATGTGCAAGGTAATTGAATGTATATATTTTGGTTTTTATGAAGCCTGAAGAAAGAGGAGACTGTCCATTATCTTTAGACTACATTTACTATTTATTTACAGTAGCATCAGGATGCAAGCTGCCACTGCTAAATATTTTAAAGAGAGAATAATTTTAAAATATAGAATGATGATTCTTTTAAAAATGTTTTAAACATCTGGGTATTGTACGTATTTTTAAACACCAAGATATCTGAAACCAGGAGACCATGTAGAAACACTTGGTTAAACAGAGCTGCACAGAAAATAACCCTCTGAAGGACAAACTCTCTGTCTACACATTTCAACTGTTAACTATTCCCATTTAGCTTGTGATTGACTATGGAAAGAGTCAAAAGAGGACAGTATGATTTAAAGCAGGAAGTAAGCCTGCTGAGTCTGCTGCTCCCTTGGGATGCCATGAAGCTCTAAGTGAAGAGCAAGATATAATATACAGAATCACACAGCAGAGATTTAGAATTCAGGACCAGATTTGAAGTTTTACAATGAACTTGCAGTGAGAATGTTGTACTATATTAAAAACAATTAAGGATGGCAAAATCTAGCTTTATGCAAGCCAAATATTCCTTCAGTTTGTGAGTAGTCCCACAGCAATCAGTGGAGAGGCACTAAAATAACACCATCACGAGTACAAGAGGCCCTGCAACACCACACATTTCAGCAAAACATACCTGCCAACCCTACAGATTTTGACAGAAGTAACCTCTTTTACTAGCTATCTACCTTTTTCTACTTATTCTACCAATTGTACATCAGCTGATATAATTACTAAGTCTGAAAATGTCCCAAACCACAAGTCTTGCATCTGGGAGCAATTTCATGCCCTAAGCCCTGCCACTGCCAGGAATAGAACTGTATGCTGTGCTGTCCCCCTCCCATCCTCAACAAATGAGTCAGACAAGTAAAGGACACCACAGGAGTGCATCTTGGGGAAGCAGGAGAGCTGAGATTTCCTATTGACTCAGCTCTCCCTAAGTCCAGCTTCATTTCCTAACTCAGGTATCCTGACCCTCAACCACTCCCAGCAGTGTAGTGCAACATCAGGTACTCGCTCAGTATCTGCCAACACAAGGAAGGGACAGCAGCTCTCATGCTGAGGATGGACTCTCACTGGCAGAAAAGCTGGAATCATCATTCCTCTTTATACACTGAGGTACCCATCCAAGTGGATTTGGATGCTAGGAAGGATAGACTAGCAGGCTCCTGACTTAGAGCAAGAAAAGTCAACTATTAAAAATTCCCTGGCACAGCCTGAGTAATGCTGACCCTGGATGGATGCTGCTTTCCCAAAATCGTGTAACCCTGCTACAGCCAAGAGAATGCAAAGAGCACCCAAGAAACATTTCCTAAGCCGACGGACTCATTCTTCTCAGACATCCTTCTGCAGTTTGACTTTGTGTAAGGGCAGGACAGAAATTTCCTTCATCTTTAGCTCCGAATTCCCACAACCTTTCCCACATATTCAACATACATGAGAGAACAACAAAAAATCTGCACCTAACCTACCACATGGAAATCATGGAACTTCTATTACCCAGTGACAAAAACAGTAACAGCTGGAACTGAAAGCAGCAGGATAAGTGGCCAGCCAAACTGGCTGAACAGTGTTAAGAGCTTCCTGCTGAACTTCACTGCTACTGAAATTGCTGTAGAAAAGAGCAGTTCAGCCAAGAGAGCAGTGCAGCTGCTCCACCAGCCCCCAGACTAGAAACTGCATGAGTCTGCAGCTTAATCTACTCTAAAACAGCAGTCACTTACAGATGGCAATCTACTTGACTGTACATCCACAGCTCGAAATTCAGCTACCAAAAGATAAGTTTCTAGTTCTGCAAAGCTAAGGTAAACTTGCAATGACAAACAGTTCAAACAATAACTCATTAAAATACTTGTGGGGTTGGAGCTGTGTTGCTTTTCAAACCATAAACATAATAGAATGCAGACACATGACTGCTGAAGATCTATGGAATAGTTTCAACTATTATAAAATTATCAATGGAATTGTTTGACACTTATCTCACCATCACTGTGATAAGCTCTCTCCCACTGCTATCCTCTAACAGTGATCTACATTACCCTGGAAACTCCACTTATATTTAAAAGACAAGGAAAAACTATGCATGTGGGCTTGCAAAACTCCACAACCACAAATGACTCCTTACGTTGCATCCTTGCTATTTTGCAAGAATTAATTCCCAAACTCTTTACTAAACTGCAGCCCAGCATGCATTAACTTAGGGGCAGAAAGCATCTTCTACACAACGGCACCGTAACATTAAATACCAAAATCACACAAGCAGTAATGAGAATTTATTTAATCTGTATTCAGATAACCCTTCCCTCCACCTCTCACTTGGTTAGTGCAAAGGTCAGTTACCTACTTTGCAATACAAAGCACTTCCCAGTAGCTCATGAAGAGACACACAAATACTGATGTTCACTGAGAAATACTGACAACAAACTACAGGCTACTGGAGTAGAAAAACACCACCCACGTCTGACAATTGTGAAATAACACAGGTTCAAAAAGGTTTTCTTTTTAAATATATTTTTTATGCAACTTACTTGAAGCTTTGCTAGCTGAGCTGTGCGAGACACTATTTTGTTGTAGGGGTCAACAATTTTGACTCTGATTCTAAAAATAAGAAGAGAAATTTATTTATAACAGCATTAATAAACAGCATTATAGAACATAAAAATTTATACTTTCTAATCACAGAAGGAACGGCATCATCAACATCATACCTATCAACAGTACTTTGCAGAGCACCAATTCTAGTTTGCATCATTTGGAGGACACCTGCAAAATAAAGAAGATTTTTTACATGGAACACTCATCAATTGGAGTTTTTCTTCAAATCATAGTAACTACTGCAGACTACATAGCATTAAAAAAAAATCAAAACAACAACTTTTAAAAACCTTTACAAACCTTTACCTTAAAAATCCTTTACAACAAAGCACTCATACAGACTACTGCAGCATATTAGGGAATAAACTGAGCAGGTAATAGGTCACTTATTGAATATTGTGGAAAATTTATTGGTAGGGAACATAAAAAGAAATACATGGAAGAAATATTATTCCGAAACCCATCATTTGTGAAGTTTCAAATAATATTCAGGGGATGGGGGATGTTACTTTGAATGATGATCAGGACTGTGGTTCAAAGACATATAACCTGGTACAAACACCTGAAAATTATATACAAAAATGGTAAGACCTATTTAACACTATTTATTTGACATAGTGACTATATGGTTCAGACAAACTAATGGACAAAGAGGACAAAGAAAATTAAAAATTCTCCTTTAAGGTTTTCTTCCTGTGCATAAGCATCTTTAGCAAAAAGTAAGGTATCAATGTCATTGTAAGGTCATCTAATTTAGATTACAAACAGAGCAAACTACCCTAATCATGTTTGTTCCAGATTAGTTTGGCAGAGCAGCACAAGGAAAGCCAAGAAGCATGTTTGTTTTTTCTTGTTAAATTGCAAACAAAGTAGTCAAGGATAGCAGTCATTTTTGCAATACAGAATCAGCCTGCTGAAAATTTAATTAAGTAACACAAACCCAGGCCTATGAAATTATTTTTGTTCCAGCTATTGTTAGCATACTCAAACTTACTACATTTTTGTAAAGCTCTGTTTACAAGCATGTCATCAGTAAATTAGGTAAAACTGCAGCATTATACAGTACGATGGAAGACAAACTACTGCTAACAGTCACATTCCGGTTGTCCTGTACTGTGACTATATCTCACTTATTTTGAATAAATACGTAAATTTCCATCTTCTCCGTTATTTCAGAATTATTAACTTGGCTTAGCGACAGACTTATGGGTTCTCTGGCATTCATACACGGAATGGCCAGCATGCAATTCTCACACATCAGAGGATGAAGATACGAGATCCAGTGAAAAGCTGGCAAAATAGGCTGCATTTTCTACTCCACATTGCAATAATGGAGGACGGGCCAGTGGCACGACATTGCTGCACCTATGGCTGTGATACTGCTGTCAAGCATACAGCAGGCCTCTTCCCAGAGGGCAGAATAAGGACGGGTGAAAAGGCAATCTACTTTCTCCATCTGCTGTGGAAGACAGAGGATGATACCATTTAGCCTATCTTAAGATAACAAGCAGCTCAAGATACCTGTTGAACTGCCACTAGACAGAGAAGAATGTGCATTTCAGATCAGAGTACCATTAAAAAAGTGGGCAGGCCTGAAAAAGAAAGGAGTCTACAAGCTGGCTGTATCAATTTGAAACATTTAATGAGATTCACTTTCATACATCCAAGTGACTATGCATGCTGTAAATTAGCTCCATGATCTTCAATTGCTAACTTTCTTGATAAACATACCAAGAGCTATGCATTTCTAACTTCATAATTAAAAAAATCTGTTGACATCCCCATTTTCTTTTTCTTATTAAGCTTGACTCAGTGTTTCCTTTAAGAGTATAACCCCAAGTAAATGGAAAAAATTCAACAAATTTTAAGTGAATTGGATTTTATTTTTATTTTGGATTATTATTGTAAAACATGCATTATTTACCACACCTACCTTATAGAAATGTTTTCTAACTGAGTACTTGTTTTGAAGTACATCATTCTTTCCTCAGAGCAACTTTAGGAAAGAATGCCTTCAGAAACAACCATAATTTCAGAAAATACAATTTTGCTGAGCACAAATCGCTGAAGATCGTGACTGGAAGGTATTTATCAATCATAAGATTTACTACAGTTTCCTATCTACTTTTTATTTGGAGAATGAACACGTATTTCAGTCTTCTATGCTTGATTCTCCAACTGTTTGAAAAGTTACTCAGGAGCTACCATTTCTAAAATAAATAGCCACTTCTTTAATTTTACAGCTATAAGCAAATCTAAAAAATCCAATGCATAGGCTGGAAGGTGTGAAGACCTTCCCCAGATCTTCGCTCGCGAAGACTGGCCATTATAAGCAAATGCTGACAAATACTGTATCCTAAAAGTTCCAAAGACTAAGGATATACTATAACTGTCAGTAACCAGAAACTCTGGTTATGCCAAAACCCAAAAGCAGAAAAAGGAACAAAGATAACTTACTTAGCAAGATTTAAATGGAAGGGGAAAAGGGGATATGCTTGGAGGTGATAGGATACGCAATTTAGCATTTTATAGAGGTACGTATCTGTCTGCACAAAAAACCCCCAAGACAGAACAAAACTGTATGAAGTTCTCAGCAAGAGACAAAGAGCAGAATGGCAGGTTTAATGAGCTCCTGGTACAAAACCAATATATTGCAACCATTTTCTGTGCAGATTCAATGGCTCCTAAGTAAGGTCTTTGAAAGTCAGCAGTTTATGTTAAAATCAAGGTCTCAAAACACTGGAATAAAACAAAGGCATGTATCTAACTCAGTAGTCCCTTACTAGGAAAAAATATCTCAACACAGTTTAGATTATGTGTTAAAGCCTCTTTGGTTAAGATATGCAAACTATGCATCACATGCATTTGCAACATAAAGTGGTGCTTAAGACAACAGATATCTGTCAATGTTGCAACAAAATTAGGCTTATTCAGGAAAATATTTTAAAAGGTAAAAAAAGGCTTGATTGCTGAAGTTCCTCAGAACTGACTACTGAAATACATTTTCCCATGAAGCAGTTACTACAGATAAGTATCAGCCAAATCTTCTCCCTGGAGCTCCATCTACTGACATCAAAAAAAAAGCTGCCACATGTTTCTCCTCAGAAGTCAGATCTGTAGCCTCAACATGAGGGGTCAAAGTTGGCAGTGAATGATTTTCCCTGCATAGATTTTAAAAATGCTTCCTCCACCGTAAGAATAGTAAGGATAATATAACAGTATTTACCTTCCAGGGATTCAATTCCAGTTGCTTGGGCCAACAGATCTTCATGTCTTGCAACAACCTTAAAAAAAATGGAATATAGAAATGAACAGAGAAAAATGGGATCGTGCACCTAAAATGAGGATTAAAATGTCGTCATCATTCCTACATTAGGTATTTAAGTATCGCCATCCCTACATTAGGTAGACACAGAAAAAAGCAGGTACATCTTAAAGATGAAGGGGTTTTCAAAGCACAAGGGTTTTAAGTCACAAAAGCAGCAAGCTTAGAACAGGAATAGAATCAGTAACTGCAGCGTACCTGAAACTTAATTAAAGCCAGCAGAGCAATCACATTTCAACATACCTTCATATACAATTGTAAATGTGAGCTTATTAATCACACAACAATAGTGTATATTCACTATTTTTTTCTATTTATAATATTTATAAACTAGTTCCCAAAGAACTGGCCAATATGGGCAGGGTTAGGCAGAAAGTAGGTTATGATACTACACACAAACCCACTGCAAGGTCCACTGTGGATTCATAGTTTCCACATAAAAAATGTCTTCTACTATCCAAACTCAAAAGCCTTTCTAAAGGTGTAGAGGTCTGTTAACATAGGTTTTATATTTGCCTAGGTATAGGTACGTCTTAGGGCTTAAGTTACTATCCAGCACAGGATGAAAGGGTGCAAGTTCTCCCTATCTTCTCATAATGTCATCCCAAAACATCTATTAGTTGACATGATCATATGGAAAGACTCAAGGAACCATCTTATAAGGAAGAGTAGCACACAGAGAGGCTGCAGAGATATGTATCTCAGTATACAGACTACAGAAACTGAAACTGCATGTGGCTTCTTGGTAGGAAGTGTGGGCTTAACTGAGTTCTCAGAATCACTAATGGTTTAGCTGCAAGCTGTACTTATAGTTAATACTTGCAGAGTACACTGGGCAATTTCAGAACTTACAAGATCATAAGATTACTAAGTTTTTGATTACTTTAAATCAATCACCCCAAAAAACAGGTATGCTTTAAACTTACTTGTAAATGCAGCTCTTTATCCAACTGACTAATACCTTGGGCAAGTTTTGCCAGTTGCTCAGCTATCACAGCCTGATGGATAGACTGGGAAGTGTAAGCTTTCACATCAAAGTCTTCTCTGAAGAAGTCAGCATAACACTCTGAAAAAAGATTTAGACTTTGTATTCATACATCAGAACAGTTAAACAATGTTTACGGATCTAGAGTGTACAGTTACCTGACCTTCAATTCCTGTAGTGTATGCTGTCTTCACCACATAATACAAATGTGAGAAGGCACCACAACCAAGAGAAACGGGTTTGGAGTCGATAAACGAGGTTGGGGTTTGGGTTTGTTGGGGTTTTTTTGTAAATAGTGGTACAGACTCCTATTCCTTTATTGCCGACAACCTTGAGTGGAATACACTAAAAAGGGTCAGTATCTTCTTTTTCAAACTTCACAGCACTAATGAGGGTGAGGCTGTTGAGCTTGTACCCGTAAACAAACACACGCCAGTCACCTCCCAGTTACTGACACGTGGCACGCCACAACTTCATGAAATCATACCGGACTCACAACGGTGTGAGTTTACAAAACCATTAAGAAATGATACTGCAACGATGACTGTGAATCAAGCAAGACCAGGGTTCCCAGACAGCGACTGCTAATTCCACCGAGCACCCTCGCCTCTCCTTCCAGTGCACTCCTTCCCTCTGGGAGGCAGAGCCGCTCCACCCGGACCCTCGGCCAGCGGTCCCTGCCCGACACCCAAACTTTCCGTGACTCCAGACCGCGGGGCTGCCCTGCCCGCCCCTCCCCGAGCTCCGCCCGCCCGGCCCGACACCGCCCTCGCCGAGGACCCTCCGTGTCCCCTGGGCCGCCGCGGGCGGGCCCCGGGCGGTGCGGCCGTCGGGGGCTGTGCCCGGCTGTGCCCCCACTCCCGCGCCTCACCGTCCGCCCGCAGCTCGGCGAGGGCCGGGGCCGGGGCCGCCCCCGCCTCCTCCATGCTGGCGGTGCCGGAGCGCGCGTCACTCCCGGCACGCGGCGCGCGGCGATGATGGCGAAGGCGCGCGACGGCACGTGTCGATCCCGGCGGGAGCGGCGCCGGAGCCGGGACACGGCCGGGCCTCGGCCCTGAGGGAGCTCCTTCTCCTGGCGCGGCGCAAGTGAGCGACGTCCTGCGGGGCGCTGCACCCCAACGCCTTTTTTTGTTTTTTTTGTGGTTTTTTTTTTTTACCGCCACAGTTCAAACGGGGATGCTTTGCAGCACGGCCTGTGAGAAGCAACTGAATGACTTCCGTGTCAAACGCTGTTTGTTTTTCCAGATGCCGAAAGGACTGTTAATTATACATGATTGGTAACGTCACAGAAGCTAAAGAATGCCGACGAAACGATCCCATGGATTTGTTTCGTTCTGGCCAAGTTGTGAAAATATGTGCCCCCATGGTCCGCTATTCAAAGTAAGTAGCTGTCATGTCAGTTGTTTTCAGTGTATTTTCTCTGAGAAAGTTTATCTTGACTGTAAAAACAAGTGTGATTATCTTTTTCTCCTTTAGTTATTTAAGACAGAGGTATACCTGGGACATGTTTTATTCTACGATTATAACTAAACACCCCCACGGTACTGCATGTCAACAGCACTTTAAAACACCTCATCAGAAAGATGCCTTTACAGTTTACCTCCTAATTTTCATGTTTCTGCAGGTTGGCTTTCAGAACCCTGGTTAGGAGATACAGTTGCGATTTGTGTTACACACCAATGATAGTGGCAGCAGATTTTGTGAGATCTGCAAAAGCAAGAGACAGTGAATTCACAACAAACAAAGGTATTTTTTTAATAAAACATTGCCTTCTCAGAATGTTTTATGTGATGATAAGCCAGATCAACCAAGTGTATGAAGTTTGTCACAACTTGACATCTGTTAACAGTTTTGGTATACTGTTTCTTATTGATTGTAAAAATTCTAGGTGAGAGTAAGGACAATCCAGTGATAGTAGGTCAAATGAAGTAGTGGAAAACCTTGACTCCATCTGAAATCAAGGCCTCCAAAATGATGCAGATCTGTGATGGGTTGACTGCACATAGCTTGCCAGTGGCCATGCACTCACACAGTTGCACACTCATTCCTCCTGCATCCTCCCAGAAGCACAGGAGGAGATTAGGAAGAGCAAACGCAAGAAAAAATCATGAGTCAAGATAAAGGCAGCTTCATATGCGAAGGAAAGAAAGAGGGAAAAAACAAGTGATGCAAAGGCAGTCACTTCCTACTGGCAGACCGATGCCTGACCAGTTTCAAAGCAACAGTCACCCTGGAACACAGATTCCACATCCCAACCCACTTTCTTCTTCCTGAACCACTCCAGTTTTCTTGCTGAGCTTGATGTTATGCTCAGCATAACATCACTGGAATATTCCTTGTACCAGTTTGGGTCAGCTGTCATAGCTGTATCCACTACAGACTTCTTGCCCATCCCAATCTATTTGCTGTGGGCAGGAGAAGGCAGAGTGAGAAAAAGAGAAAGCTTTGGCACTGTGCAAGTACTTTGCAGCAATCGCCAAAACAGTTTGTGAATTATCAACACTGGTTTTGTCACAAAATCCAAGCTACAGCACCACACAGGCTGCTAGAAACAAACTTTAAATAAATTTGAATAAAATTGAAAACTGAACTCCATCCCAGCCAGACCAAGTACAGGATGGCAGCAAGGTTCTTTTCCCATTAATTGTTTCAGGTTTGTTTCAGTTACAAACATTTAACTAATTGCTGGGGAAAATTTTCTGGTCTGTAGTAAAATCAAGAGTGTTGCTAAAGGTGAAAAAATTAATAGACCAGGCATTGATACAGTGGAATCAAGGATTTATAAAAGAAGCAGAGTTTCATATTAGCTGGAGTGGAAAGTGGAAGGGGCTGATGTTGGACAACTTGAGATGTTGAGAGCAAGAAGGCACAAAGATACTGGGAAGTTGAAGCATGGCTGGGGTCAATGTGGAGAAGCAAAGCTTCAGGCATGGTAATGAAACATAACCAGAACACATAGGAAAATAAGGAGTATAAGGAGTTGTACGGTGTCGTGGCTGTAAAGCAACAATGGTATGAAATACGTGGGAAGAGGTGGCAAGAACGATACGGATCTGCTGGCATGAAGTGACTGTTCTGCTGCAGTCACATTAGAAGTAGAACAGTGTATAAGCTGCAAGGAAGAATGAAGAGCACTGCTAATGTGCTAATAGGCTAGTAAGATCAGCATGTAGGATCTATGAAGCGTGATGATTTAACCTATTCAGACCACAGAATTTGTAGTTTCATAAGTATATGCAATAGGAGAAGTACATTTCACTGTTTGAAATGCACTAACTACTATGGTGCATTATTCAAATAGAACAGAGCAGTTACAGAGAAAAGTCACATGAGGAAATGCAGGTAGACGCTCTTATTAGTAGAATTCAACTTCAAAAAAGCATGAATAATTCATTGTAAAAATAAATGAGTAAGAACATAACTGACAGTATATATGGCTCAAAGGTCCACCGTCACTAGTTTGTCCCCTTTGAATTTAGTTACACTTCTGATCTATTCGAAGTCTGGTGGCATCAAAGTTCCACAGGTCAGAAATGTATATTCTGAGGGCTGCAGGGACAGGGAAAGGGAAAGGAAGGTCTCCTTTACAGCTGCATGCTGTACCTTTGTTGCCTGATAACAAGGGTACAGAATTAAATGGTTTAGTGTTGTAAACAACATCTTTTCCCTACTCACTTCTTTCATGCTGGCCTTAATTTTATAGGCTTCTAAAACACTTTGCCTCATGCTTTGCCCAGATTATAGTATTTACATGATTAGCATTTATACGTTTTCTGTGGTTTTATGTTTAACTTGCTGGCTGTTTGGGGATTTTGTCTTCTAATTAGCAGAGTTTGCAATTTCTGTTTTCCATTTTCTTCTGCATTAATGTTTCTTTGTTATGTATTTCTCAGAGATACATGTTCTTTGTGGCTACTGCTAAAAAATTTTGTATGGCTAGATTCAGTATTTTTATCACTTAATGCTCAACAAAAAAAATCTAGGAGTGTGGGATTGTTCTAAAATATTAGCTATAACAATGTAAATCTCTTCAACTAGAGCACTGTATTAAATGGACAGTGTTCTGAAAATGTGCATGGGATTTTTTTTGCTTGCTGGATTTTTAGGTAACTTCTAGAAGTGTCTCAGCTTGATTGAGAGGGTTCTGCTGGCCTTTATGACTTAAGCTCCACTACTTCAAGAACTATTTACTTTCCCCTAAAACAAAAAAAATCTTCAGAAGCACTTCTTCAGTGCTAGAAGTGCACTTGCTTTGTGCATTTATTGGATCATCTCTTTCCATCAGTGCTCAGATATCCTTCTTCTTCTTAACTGCAGCAATTGTTTATATGGAAAGTGAGTGCTAAGACTGCTTGAGATATTTTTAGATGCCTTTAATGTAATGCAGTAGCTGCAAAAGAGGAGAGCATGTTCCAAATGACCATCTGGCTCTCTGCAGGGGCTTAGTAAATCACAAGTAGTTCAGCAGACCCAAGCTGAGGAGCACTGACACTTTGGTTTCTCACTTAAAACAAAGCTGCTGAAGCTGCCTCTGTGCAAATGCACTCATTCCAACTCTGCATATCACACTGTGGATAAAAACCAGCCATGCTGGCACAGAAGAGGAGAAAGATGGGATGAGATGAGGAAGGGCAAAGCGTGTGGGTGGTTTAGCTCCTTTCTGAAGGGTTGGTTCTGTAAGCAAGTTTCCCACCTGGCAAGACAGACAGCCGTGTCAGCACAGCAAACGGGCAGCATGCAGACAAGGGCCAGGCTAGGAGGGGAAACATGAAGGCTGCTGAAATGTAGAGAATACTTAGTTTCATAGGTGATCTTTGTGGAAGATAAGCACCTGAGCGGTTTCAGTCAGAAAAAGTGTATGTTGAGCCAGCAACAGTATAGGGCATATATATTTGTCTGAATTTCCACCTCTCTTAATAGATATACTCATTTAGTATCCCCCAGTAAGCTGCCTTTTATTTATTTGTGATCTGGGGCTTGCAGAACCACAAAACAGTCAAGTCTGGAAGGACCTCTGTGGGTCATGTTGTCCAGTCCCCGAGCTCACACAGGGTCACCTAGAGCTGGTTGCCCAAGACCATGGTCAGACAGCTGTTCAATATACAAAAAAACATTCGAAATTTAGAATTTGTTCTTTTATTTTCTGGGAATTTTTAAATCTCTAAATATCTTTTCATTGGAGTAGGTGACCATCCATTGATTGTTCAGTTCGCTGCTAAAGAAGCACAGGTTTTGTGTGATGCTGCGCGTATCGTCTGTCCTTTCGCAGATGGAATAGACCTAAACTGTGGTTGTCCTCAGAGGTAAAGTTTTGAAAAAGATGGGTAAATACAGTGAAATAATTTGAGACTAAAGAATGCTGGTTCTCATTTTCGTAGTAATTTCTGTCTTAACCTAAAAATAGACTTCAAGAGAGAAACAGCTTTTTAACCTGTCAGAGATGTCTGTGTGGCAAGACACTGTTCTGAGTGTTCTGAGATGCCTGTCACCATGGTGAGACTGGGAAAAGCATATACATTTACTAACTTGCCTTTCTTCATTTCTGAGATACTGAGTGTTGGCTCAGAAGTGAAGTGTCCGTCCCTTCTCAACAGCTGGTAAATATGCATTACCAAAAAGAGCTTGCTGCAAATAATTTGGAGAGTGTTTTGAGAAATGATGTGGCAATTCCCAAAACAAGGAGGCAATTCCCCAATGTCTCAAACTTCTGCAAGTGAACGATAGTCTCTAAAATAAAATTATAGAGGTTGTGTTATTCAGAAAGTGCCGAGAACAAGTTCTTCCATCTTGTATTAGATTTATAGGTATAGTGAATTAGTGATCTACTTCTCATTTGATTTGATAAAGATCTTGTCTTAACAGTGAAACAGAGTAGTAATGAACAAATGAAGATCCTTGCTAACTGGTTCAATTAAGAATCACGTGTTACATGTTTGTTAGGCAGTCTTTCTAAATGAAGACCTGAAAAATAAATAGGAAATTAAAAGATAATATTATGGTGCAAATATTTAATTTCTCTATTCTAATTGGGTTGTCTTGACTTAAAATTACAGCATCTGAGAAAAATCTTTTCTGGAGAGATCTGAGACTTCGGAATTAAGTGTATTTTTTTTCCTAAGCTAACTATTGTTAACTATGCCAAACTATAAGTTCCTTTTGGGCCAAAAATATATGTGTACATACGAGTCCTTTGTTTCTTCTGAATATTGGTTTGAATATAACAAAAGTTTGTGCACTTCATCTGCCTTTATAAGAAAAATTGTTTAAGAAAAAACCTGCTGCTCTTAACTGAAAGCAAAGGTTTTTTCCTGCCAATCAAAATAATGTTTTGCAGTTGAGAGAGAACAGAAATAATATCCTCACTTGCACATTAAAAATCTTCCTTTTCAATCCAAAGTCATTTAGAAGAAATTCATGACCCAATGGAAGGGGAAACATCAAACTATTTATTTTATGTATGATCTAAACCATTGTTGATTAAATTTTAATTTATCTTCTTTGTGAGTCCATTTTGTGGACAGAAAAGTGAACTACAAGAGATCAGTAACTTTTCCAAAGTTCTAATAGCACAATGCAGACTGAACCAGAATCTACATAATGATATGAAACTGCAAACAAATAATTGCCACTACTATCTCTGTTTATTCAACCACATGGGTTGCTGAAGGTCATAAGGAAAGAAACTGATGTATTTGACTGAAATTGATCTGCATTTTTTCAAATGTAGAATACAAATGTTCTTTTTCTTTTAAAGATGGGCCATGGCAGAAGGTTATGGTGCTTGCTTAATAAACAAACCAGAACTCGTTAAAGATATGGTGAGACATGTACGAAATCAGATCAACAACCCTAAATTTTCAGTATCTATTAAAATAAGGTAGGTCTAACTTAAATAGTACATGGAAGAATCCTTTTTATTTTTTAAAGAAACAATTTAGTGTAATAATATAATAATAATAAGTTATAATATTCTTTTAATGTAGTATTACACTTTATAGTAATGTGTGAATATCTGGGGCAAGTAGTCCCAAACTTAGATAGCAGAACTAGCACAGCCTTTGACTCCTTACCCAGATAAAATACTGTAGGCTGGAGTTTTCTTGCAATCCAAACAACATAAAAGTACAAGTTAAAAGATGAAGAGTTCCATAAAAGAAAAGCAATGCATAGTCTGTATCATCACAAGAATTTACTTTGTGAGCTATTCTCCACAGTTCATCAGTTTCTAAACTTCTGTAGGCTTGTTTTGCGTTGCTTTGTGTGCAGTCCAGAGAAGAGAAGGCTCTAGGGAGACTTTGAAGCACCTTCCACTACCTAAAGGGGGTACAAGAGAGCTGGAAAGGAACTTTGTGCAAGAACAAGTAGCGATAAGACAAGGGGAAACGGCATCAAACTGGAAGAGGGCAGGTCTAAATTAGATATTAGGAAGAAATTCTTTACTGTGAGGAAAGTGAGGTACTGCAACAGGTTGCCCAGAGAAGCTGTGGATGCCTCATCCCTCAGAGTGTTCATGGCAAGGTTGGACAGGGCTCTGAGCAACATGGTCTAGTAGAAGGTGTCCCTGCCCGTAGCAGGGACGTTGGAACCAGATGGTCTTTAAGGTCACTTCAAACCCAAACCATTCTCTGACTCTCTGACCATTTCATGATTCACTATTTCACCACATATCCTGTGTGGCTTTTCCATATTTGTCAGTTAAGTTTCAACTCCGTTTCCTGTTCTTCGTGAAAGTGGAACTATTACAAGTGGGATTTTTTTTTTTTTTGCAGAATGTGCAAAATTGTGCTATTTTAGAGTTTTTGGGCACTCTTGCTCAATCTCTATAAAATTTACCATGTATATTACAGAGATGTGATATTATTGGGAAATGCTAAATTAAATAGCAGTTTCATATGTTAAACTCATGTATTTAAAAAACCCCAAATACTGTCTTTCAACATAATATTGTCTTTATACTCTTATTTATGCAAATCTGTGGTAACTTCTTATGGAGGAAGTTTCCTATGGTCCAGCTAACTTACTACTTATTGCTTTCCTTGGAATTTTAGGATCCACGAGGACTTAAAAAGAACAGTTGACCTGTGTCAAAAAGCTGAAGCAGCTGGAGTTTCATGGATTACAGTACATGGGAGAAGTATAGAAGAAAGGCATCAGCCTGTACATTATGATGCAATTAAAACAATTAAACAAAGCATGTCTATACCTATTGTGGCTAATGGAGACATTAAGACTTTAAAAGATGCTGAAAATGTTCATCAGTTGACAGAAGCAGATGGTAAGATTGAACATACTCTATTTTCTAAGTAAACTTACAAATCAGATTTCAAAGTATTTGGCTATAAGTAGGACACCATTTGAGTGATTTTCACTCTTTGAGGGGACAAAGGAAAGAGCATGTTTTAGATGCCTTATAAACTCATAAACAGAATCACTTGTAATCATCTGAGCACTAGAGCACTGTTGTTCAAAGCCACAAATAATGATTTCCGAGGCAAATTACAAAAGCTCTTTGCTTAATTATGCTGTCTCATCACTCAGTAGTGGAGTTCAGGGGAACCTTCAGACACTCATTCCATCTCTTTATGGAATTGATCATCTTTTAAAGAACTGTAAACTTCTACTTGGAAATCTCTACTTCCTGAACATGGGAGCAGATTTCTTGCAGTAATGATCCAATGGAAAAAGAAATACTCTTAAGCCAGATACTTAACAGTTGAGATGGTTAGCTTCAAGGACACAGTGAGGCATTGCACTCTCATATCTGTGTTAAAATTTGTGTCCTGCAGTTATTTAAGTCACAGTAGATTCCTGCAACTGTCTGTGGTTTCAAGACAATATGGAAATTTGGTATATGTTTTGAAGAGGTGATCTCCATCCACATACTTTGCCTATTTCAACTAGAGAGCAACAGGACAGGGAACAATAGAGGAAGGAAAAGTTTGTCTGGAAGGTTTCTGCTGACACTGTTGCGGTTTATTAGCAACAACAAAAATTAGTTGAACCAAACCGCAGTTCTGCTTTCCCCCAAAAATAAAGCAGGAAGGAAATGCATCACGCAGAAGAACAGTGCAGGAAAACAGAGTCCCTTAATCACAGAGAAATTATGATAGAAATTATCTGACAATATGGGATTAAAGTTCTCTTGTTCAGAAAGATTTACTGCAGATCAAGAGTATTGAAATTTACTGAACTGAGCCATTGAGCTCTTACTGGAAGAAGGATTCTTAGTCAGTGAATAGACTTGAGTTGCACAAAAAAACCCTAAGTTTAGCATGTTGATGTCTATAGTAATTTTATGTTATAAGGGGAGGCTTGTATATGTGGAGCAAATAAAAACAAAATACTATTTAAGTGCGGGCTCAAAAGTAGGGCAGAAAGGGCTCTGTGCCCTGTGTTTTGTTTCAAAATTTCTGGAATGCAGACTGTGTTGGTAGGCGTTGCAGATGCTCTGAGATCTGCCTTTTTAAGTGGATTTCTCTCATACAGCTGTAGTACTAATCCCTGTTGTTCTCCAATTATTTGTCTGTAAGCTTTGGGTTGTTGTCCTAAGGGATGCTATACAAAAATCTACATAAAATTTAAAGTACAATGTAACTTACTGTTTGATTTCCAATTTGAAGGTGTAATGGTGGCTAGAGGACTCTTGGCAAATCCAGCTATGTTTGCAGGATATGAAGAGACACCTTTTAAGTGCATCCAGGACTGGGTTGACATTGCTCTTGAGCACGGAACTCCTTTTACATGTTTCCACCACCACTTAATGTACATGATGGAACGGATAACTTCAAAACAAGAAAAAAAAGTTTTTAATGTTTTATCAAGTACCTCAGCAGTACTAGATTACCTGAATGACCATTATGGTGTGTGATAAATGGAAGTATTTTAATTCTATGTAAACTTGTATTTTGCAATCGTTGATACATTGTTAAAGTTTTAATTCTTCTTAGTCGCATTTATCAATTGTGTAAGTATTTTCAACACAGCATAAAATCATTAGGATGGTAATTTATTTTTTTAGTATTTTTATGTGTACATTTTCCCCTCTAGAAAATATTCCAAATTCCACAAATGTGGAATTCGGTTTACAGTGCACATGTGGGAGAGGGGAGATTATTTTAATAATGGCCAGTCTTCGCGAGCGAAGATCCGGGGAAGGTCTTTCCACCTTCCAGCCTGCGCATTGGATTTTTTAGGTGAGACACAGTGTGCGCGGAACTGAGCCCACCCTTTAATCCTAAGGTTCATCTGCCGGGGCCAAGCAAGCTTGGACGGTGGCAGTGAGGTCCTTAGGACGTAGGTGGGTTGCCTTTAAGGGCTGACGAGCCCCACCTGCCCGGGAGTGGCCCTGACCGGGAATCGAACCCGGGTCTCCACGGTGACAGCGCGGCGCCTTTCCATTAGACCACCAGGGGCTCCGGAGATTATTTTAAGGCTCCAGTAATTTACATTTTCACCAGACAATTGCTTACAGCAATATTATTGCAAAACTAGGGCCTTTCTTAGATGAAACCTCCTAAAATCAGGACTACTGACAAATAATGCCAGTAATTTCAGACCAAAAGAATACAAAGGGAGCAATTACAGAAGTTTTTGCTTTAACTGACATAAGTTGAATTTAAATTTGAGTAGATTTTCAAACTTTAGGACTGTGAAGCTTTGAAGCCCAGCATACTATCCTCTTTTAAATTAGGTGTTCCTTTTGCAGACTAAAAAAAACTTTCTAAACTTACTTACAACTTAGAAAAATTCCATATTTCATATAGCAGACGAAATATGGAACAGATAAACACTGGTGAAAGGAAGGAAGGAAAAAGTACAATGAAGAGACAGTTTAAACTAAGTACAAACTTAGCTTGAATCTAAAATACAAGACTTGAGAGTTCAATTTAAATTCAGTTTTGTTTATCTACTGTATAATAATTGTATACCAGATCCCTACCATCTACCACACCAGAAGTTTTTAGGTCAAAGAAAAGCTGACAGATTCTCTCAGTAGGGCTCTTGCAGTCCTTTCTGCCCACTGGCATGTTGCTTATCAAAGCATGACAGCCACTTGGCTTTGAATCACTGTATAGGGGTGAAATAGTGGAAATTAGAACAGGATGATAAACATTACACACCAGCTGCATTTGTTCTGCAAGGGAAATTCCACAAAACTGTGCAGTAGAATTACTTGTAATCAAATAATTTGTTTTCTTTATATGTTTACACAGAAATTCATACCAAAAATTTCCTAGTTTTTTGACTGTGATTGTTCTATGAATATACTTGTGAATAGTTCCAAATTTTCTAAATAAATTACTTGGTTTTGTATACAGTTGTAATTATTTTTTGTAATTATGCAACAATCTTGAGGAGGGAAGGTTGCTTTTGATGCTACTCACAAATATTTTAATAGTTTAAATATCTTAAATTCTCACAATTTTTTTAATGCAATGTCATAAAATACCTGGTCATTTTTCATTATGAATATGAATAAAAGTCTATGAATAAAAGTTTGAAAGGCATGACCTGAGTCATCAAGTCTGGTTCACTATTTAAGACAGCAAAGTTACGTAACTTTTCTGATACAATCACCTTCCTGATGTGTTAATAAATGGAAAACTGCAGATATGCTTTGCTATCCTAAAGCTAATTGAGACAATCTCTGCAACTTTCTTAGTTGTGATAGTGTCTCCATTCCTTCAGACAACTATTTTTTCACTCTTCTGGATTCTGATGTTTTCTTGACATTAGATAATCACAAATTTGTATAGCATTTCAGGTAAACTCACAGCAATATCTTCTGCAGATAATACCTCTCCTAATGCCTCACTTTTCCTCAACTAATATTCATCATGTAAATTATGAGCTTCCAGTTTTACAGAAAAAGTTCTTACTTCCCAACTGCATGACTTTGTATTTTGTGGTGTTGAATTTCCAGTCTAAATGCAATTATTGTGCAGCTCAGTTCTCCTTAGTTCTGAAAATGTCTCCAGCCTTCTGCCCCAAAATTAAAACTATACAGCTGAATTGTAGAAGAAGAGTATTTGTGAAAGTATTAACTAAGCCCTTTGTTAGCATTTTCTTAAGATTTTTTATGATGTTGAGTACCAACTGTTACATGCTGCAACCTGTCCCATGAGCCACAAGGAGCAGAGGAAAAAAAAATAACACAAATCAGCACAATTTTTTTTCCCTCTAGTAGTGGGAAAATTGAATTTTAGAGGACTTGAAATACCTTGACCTATTTAGGAACTGAATACTTGATGATTTTGAAGACAGCAGTTGTTGTGCCTGTGTGAGATCAATCACAGAGATTTCTGCCTGAAGTGCAAGACCTAGGTTGCTGTTAATATTGGTTATAATTAAGGAGTGCTTGATTTGGCCTTTTATAAGGCCATAAAAGTCAGCGGATGTTTATCATCCCTTTTTGAGCATGAAATGAATTGTTTGCTTTCCCCTGTGAATTTTGTATCTGAACACACTTCCCTGTGTTGCCATAGAATAAACTGCAAAATTGAAGTCTTAAGCCATGCTCTGAACAAAAATACTGTTCAAACATACAGAAATTGCTAAAGATGGGAGTTAGTTATTTAATTCCCAGACTTGTTTTAGAATATGGTCATATTTCTCATTATAAACCATATGAACATGGTAAAAGTCTAATTTCCAATTTAAAGCCACTAGATGTATTCCTTCCTGGTATGTGTTACTTATAACATCACCAGGTGCTCAGTCTTCCTGTTTTCTAATATTCAAATTTTTAAAAGTTGTTCTGCAAGTAACCTAAGATACAAAGCATTGTTTCTTAATTTAGGACCTTTGCCTCCTGTAACTGATCTCACTCTTTATGTTAAGCCACCCTGAAGAACAAGGCCATGTGCTCATAACAGCTGTACTTTCTTGCAACTTTTACCCTGCTGCAATAACCCCAGCTCCCTCACACAGCCTCTACAATCCCATTTTCTCTATTCCCTATTGTTACATTTCTTAGGTCACTTCTCCGTCTTGGGTTGATGGTTGGGCAAAAGCAGCGTGTGATGATGAGAACACCTAACATAGAAGCCAAAGTAGAATAGAACAAGTTTAAACTTTGCCGTCGTTTTAGTCTGATTTCAGTCCTCTAAGTAGCTGCTAATACGCAGGCATTTCCTATTTCTGCTTCTGAATACTATGTCACCTTACTGGCGGGAGAGGAAGGTATTCCTTGTGTAGGAGCACCTAGACAGACCACACCGGCCACGTGGATAATAAAAGAAGAAGAAAATACTAAAGCAAAAATATCGTGGTCCTGAGCTAGCTAAGATTAGTGCTTGTGAAAAGAATCATAAGGTCAAGCTGGAAAGCCGCTTGAGGCTTTACTGTCCTTTGTGACTGAAAGCAATCGCGTGGGCGTGTGTGGTATGTGTGGCGATAAGACACATCTGGCCTGGCTTGATAGCTCAGCCCCCTGCTCTGTATATATATGGGGGAATAAAATTACGAGTTAGTTCTGGCTGGACAAAGAGTCTGCATCCTCGTAACTGTAATGTTTTCAGGTTTGTGAGGTTTTTTCCCTAAAGCAGACAGCCATTATATATATTGGATGGTATCATATTCATCACAGTGGTGCACTATAAGATAGGCAGCCTTAGATTAACAACCCAGACTTCTACAGCTTCAGTTAATATTCCTTCCAGGAGTGGCAGAGTGCATTCAACAGGAGAAGGGAAGTCTCATGGATGCTTGCAGGGGGCTTCTCTCTGTTCCTCTGATCTCACTCCAGTTTGGTGGGGAACACACATCAGCTGCCGTGGAAGGGCACAGCAGTCACTGCAGTGTAAGTTCTTCTGGGATCTTATGAAGCCCTTGAAGTGAAAAAGCAGACTCTGAGTCTCTGGCAGTGGGGATGAGCAAATGTAGTCCTGTGAGTGTGAGGCTGGGCTACTGGGAGGGGCAACTTGCAGTGCTCATAAGAGCTGAGTAAGCCGCTCAGAAATCGAAACTGCTCTGGAATTAAAGGAGGGAAAGTCCGTGTTAATGCTTTAACAGCTTCAGTAAAGTATAGTGGCTGTAGGCAAATAGCCAAAACCAGGACAAGAGGTTATGTCTTCTCTATTCTGCTGATCAAATATGTTTATGAAAACATGTTAGAAATATTACTTAAGATCCCAGGCTGTTCCCACTGCATAGATTGGATTGAAATGGCTGGTTATATCACTCTCCAATATTTGTTACGCCTAAACAATTATTTGGGATGTAACCTTTCATCCAGACATTGCTTAGCAGCTGCTAGGAAAATGTTAACACACTGGCTCCATCCCCAGGCTGCAGACTTGGGAAATTTTCAGTAAACAATTTCAGATTGTGAGCAGCTGCAAACAGCTCTGCTCAAAACTGCTTATGCAAGAACTTCCTACCCCATGTCAGTTCCACTGGATTAGAGTAACAAATAACTATTATTCACTGCATTTAATGTCTCATTCTGATGGAAATTAATTGGAAGAGAATTCCCAGAACAGGTAGTTGTGTCAAGAGTGCTGGTAGCTGGTGATGCCCAGGTAGACAGGGTAACCTTTTTCTCTGGCAGCACCTCAGCATCTGTTAGGATCAACAGGAAAAAGTAATCAGGGGATCAAAAGGTGATCAGGTGGTGGCCTTATGCAGGGGCAAAGCTGAGTTGGATGGGTGGTAAAAGAGATGGTCAAGAAGTGGGAAAATGAGTACCAAGGCATGGAAATAATATCTTGGGAGCCTTGGTATGCTGATAAAAAACATTGCACAGGAGAGTATGACAGAACAGGGTTTTCTGAAGGAATATTACTCATGAGGTCCAAACAGGCCTATCTGATGGTGTTTGAGACGTGGTTTGTTGTTATTGGTGGTGTCTTTATGAATACTGGGCCTATTTTCCTCGAGAAAAAGATTTGCTGTGTCTTAATACACTAGTGTTAGGCATGGAGGGGGGATGGACAGACACACAGCATTTTAACTAAACGTCAGAAACTAAGGAGAAAACTGGAAGAGCAGAGTTGAAGTCTCAGATGGAATGGAAGAGTGGGACGATCACAGCAGGATTCCGCAGCAAAATGCTTACAACCATTCCCTAGATGGTGAGGGGAAAAAAAAAAAAAGGTAAAACAAAAACCAACCAACCAACCAAAAATATTCGCATCAGCCTTTCTTCAACGAGTAGATCCACGCATTTCCCAGCAGAGGTGCGACCCCTCGGTACCTCCGCGCTGCCGCCAGACCCAGCTCAGCCGCCCCGCCGGCGGTGCCGGGCCGGGGCCGAGCGCGGCGGTGGAGCAGCGACAGCCCCGCTCGGATGGGGCGGCACCGGAGGGCACCGACCCTCCCTCCCCGGGGCCCGCCCGCACCTTTGCCCCTTTGCCCGGCCGGGCCTGCGGCAGCTCCACACCGCCCCCGCCGTGTCACTCAGCGCCGTCCCTGCCCACAGCCCGCGGGCAGGGCGGGGGCAGCTCCGCGCCCGCACACACCGCCCGCTCCCCGCCCGCCCCCGCAGCGCCGGCGGGAGAGACCGACCCGCGCCTCCTCAGCCACGGCCGGCGAGGCCCCGCTCCTGCTCCTGCGCCGCCATCAGCTCCGCCGGGCGCCGGCGCCGAGGAGGTTCGAAGGCCGGGCGGGCGGGGAGACGGGGCGGCCCCGGGGCTCCCCGGCCGAGCGGGGGCCGGTGTGAGGGACTCCCGGGCCTGCGGCCGCCTGGCGGGGGGCTCTGCCGGCGGCCCTGCCCAGCCCGCCGGGCCGGTGCGGCGGCCGGGACGTCCCTGCCCCGGGGGTGGTTTGGGAGGGGAAGTCGGAGCCGCCCGCCTGAACCGCCCCTTCCCCCGCAGGCCGCCGGGACCATGACTTTCCAGTGGACGGCGGTGGCCGTCTTCCTGTACGGCGAGATCGCAGTCATTCTCGTGCTTTGCCTGCCGTTCATTTCCCCGCTGAGGTAGGAAGTGTCTTCGGTGTGCTGGGCAGCCCAGCTGGTGCTTCTCACCACTTTGGGTTTATTTTACGCTTCCCTTTTTATAAACGCGGAGCTTTGCTGCGTCTTAAATTAATTGTGAACAAAGCTAAAGGTGTGCTGTTTGGGACTTGAGCATCTCAAGTCCCAAATGCTCGTCTCTTGAGCATCGCAAGCCTCTTGAAGGAGCTTTAAGTTACCTACGCAGTGCTGATTCATCCGAACAGCGGTCGGAGTGCCCAGATGAGCCCCTCTGCTGTGTTTCAGCAGGTGGGACGGCTTCTCCCAGGGCTCTCGAGTAGCCAGCATGAAGGAAGGCATCTAGCAGTAAAAAAATGAGAGGAGGATGCAGCTTTTTCGGCAGTTGTTTGCCAAATTCGTGACAAACATCTTTATGTTTGGTTGTACACTAGGCATTGTGGGTGCTGGACGCATAAGAGATGTCAGAAACTTAAAGCTGCGTAAAGCATGTGTAAGGGCTGCAAGAAATCTGTGAGACTAGTTTAGAAAAACTGGAGTTTGGTGCAAAAAGTTCAGGACTACTGAAATAAAGGCCTGTATAGGCTTATATGTAGATTAGCAAAATTATAGTAGTTCTGGAACAACACAAACTTTAAGAAAATAGTAAATTCTTGTAAAATAAATGCACATAGTAAGAGAAAAAACAAAATATACTCATTACTGTTACTCTCTGCAAAGGCCTGCATTACAGCATTATCTTAAGATAGATCTTCAAATTTGGTAATGTTAATTTCTTTACAGGAAATAAAGCTAGCTTCTCTACAAGAGGCAAGAGAAGCAGACTTATGATTTCTTTACAACATCAGGATTTAAAAAAAAAAAAAAGCTAGAAACCACAAAAAACTCACAACCCTGCCAAAAATAAGAAGGATGAAACCTTAAAGGTTTTTCAAAAGAAATAAAAATACTGCTGTCTCACTGTTCTGTAAAAATTTGTTGCATGTTTACTTTCTGCATTTTTAGATGTATTTAGAATGAAGAA